AACATAGCCATCATGGCTGGCTGTCACTGATAGCCGTTTCCTCCATGAATATGTCTAATCCTCTTTTAAAGCCACCCAAATTTGTAGCCATTGCAAATCTTGTGGAAGTGAATCCCACAGATTAACTACATTGTCTGAAGAAGTAATTTTTTAAAAAATGTACTGTATTTTTCGATATAACACGCCCCCACGTGTAAGACGACCCCTGTTTTTTTGGACCGCAACAAAAAATTGTGAGGGGGGGAATTGCCCAAAGTTGTTGGTGAGCTTTTTGGGGGAGGAGTCACCACCACCAATTGCTCTACCGCCTGCCCGCCAATGCAAATCACACACATCACCACAGCCACCAATCGTCTGCACACTTGCTGCCAAAAGCGCACACTCAACAAAACCACAGCTAATTGCACGCACGCCCTTGCCGCTGCCACAAATAGCCTGCCCAATTGCCACAGCTGCAGCCAATCATCAGCAGGCCTTGCCGCAGCAACCAATCACACACCCTATCGCTGCTGCTAATCTCCTACTGGCTGCTGCCACCAATCGTCTGGCCCCCCCCTCTTCTATCCATGTATAAGACGACACGCAATCTTTGCCTTTTATTTCTAAGGAAAGAATATCATCTTATACATGGAAAAATACGGTATGTGCCCAAGGTGGGTCTCGAACCCATGACCTTGAGATTGACGCTGTGAACACACCATACATTTAAAGAACACCTCCCAAAGATTCCTGGGAACTGTAGTTTGCACTTCACACAGCTACAATTCCCAGCAACCTTAACCAACTACAGTTCCCAGGATTCAGTAGGGAGGGACATGCTTTAAACATATTATGTGCAGGCAGTCTAAGAGCCTCATGCTCTACCAACTGAGCTAACTGGATGTGTAGCCCAACCACAATCTAACATTTATTTTATTGAAAGGTAACTACTGGCTTGTCTTCTCAGAAGCTTGAGGCGGTGTAGACGGAGCTATCCCATTTTTATCTTCCTAGTTACCCTGTGAGGTAGCTTCCTAGTTGGGAGACAGTTGCCCAAGGCCACAAAGTGACCTTCATGTGTTGGGACAGCATTATCTTCCACTCCATCTCTCATAGCCTGGTTCACACTTGGTGTCAATGGCAGCAGGGACAGGAGGGCAGGGAGTATCCAATATGGTTAGTAGGGTAGGGCTGACTGGTATAAAATCAAGCCTTTTTATACCATAATATCTGCTGTTCTCAAAAGTCTTGAAATCATAAACTCATCACACCACATTCCACCTTTTTGGTTTATTAGGCGTGATGCGTCCTCAGAATGGAAGGGAGGACACTCGTAAAAAAACTTTTAAAAAAAATCTGATTGCTTCGGGGTGAACTCTGGCATAGGCGTTGTTGGCACCCCGGGACCGAAGGTGGTTTGGAGAGCAGAGAGCTGCTTGTCAGCAGGTTGCTGATTATGAAAACCAGGCCACAACAAGCTCCTTATATCTTGCCCAAATCATCGCTACCTGTCTTTGTTTCCTCATCAGATGAAACTCCGGCCTGGCAGGCGGAAGGATGATGCAAGAGATTGCCACCTCCAAGTTGCCGCACGCAAAACAACTCACTCAGCGGCCTCTCTGCCTCAGGGCTCTTGGATTGACTCACAACAACGAGAGGGGAGGGAGGCTTGGGATATTTGGGGGAAACCCTGGGCTCCTCAATTCCCTGTCCGCATTTCTTCCTGACTTCTCAGAGCCAGACATTCAGGTTCCTCCTTGACCTGCTTCCATGAGATCCTATGGTAGCCACCATCGGCTCAGCTGACAGGAAGCTGGCATGTGGTTCCTGCTCTCCCAGGACTGCCTCCCACATTATAAAATCTGTGTCACTTTAGGGAAGAATTAGGCCCTGAATTTGCTTGTTTTCCTTTCCCTCCTCATGCCTTTTTCCTTTTGTATCGGAAGGTCGGCAGTTCAAATCAGTTTGACGGGGTGAGCTCTGTCCCAGCTCCTGCCAACCTAGCAGTTTGAAAGCGCACCAGTGCACATAGATAAATAGGTACCGCTGCAATGGGAAGGCAAATGGCATTTCCGTGCGCTCTGGCACTCGTCATGGTCCTCCGTGCGCCAGAAGCAGTTTAGTCATGCTGGCCACATGACCCGGAACGCTATCTGCGAACAAACACCAGCTCCCTCCACCTGAAAGCAAGATGAGTGCCGCAACCCCATAGTCACCTTTGACTGGACTTAACTGTCACCTTTGACTGGACTTAACTGTCACCTTTGACTGGACTTAACTGTCCAGGGGCCATTAACCTTTTTACCTATCCTGTCTACTGGATGGCAAGCCTATGTTGTATACTAATCTATACAACTAAAAATTGTAAAGTAAAATAAAATAAAATAAAATACTATTGTATTGCCTATAAAACTTTGAGAATGGTGGTGGAGGTCACGAATGGACCAGCTAAATGAACCAATAAGGAAACCCTACTGAGAAGTTATATAATATGACTCGAAATGTTCACCTTGTCCTAGATGCTTAAGGGGGTCAGGTGACTTGTCTTTCATGCCCTAGGGTAAAAGAGCAGTGCTGCATTATCTGAAGTCCATTTCCACTCTCTGCTTTCACCATTACTGAGTAATGCCTTACTTCCCCTTTTCTGAGAAGAACCCCGGAGTCCTGGTGTGCCCATCCCATAACCCACAGCACTTTTGACCTCATGTACCAACCCAGAGCCAGTAATCCTGACACACAGCCCAGCTCTCTCCTTCCAAAGAATCTAGAAGTCTTGAACCCACCCATCCCTGAAAAACCAACCCAACCCTCTCTAATGCTTTGCCCAGTGCAACTCAGTCCTCTCTGGAGGACTCTGGGCACCAACCCCATACCCGTCTAATCTCGATTTCTCCCCTAGCCTGTAATGGGAATAGAACTCCACTACCCTTGAGTATCCCTTCTCATCCTCACTTCCTCTATTGCCCCTACAAGGATTAATACCGGGTATTGTTTAGGGTGAGTAGTACGAAGTGGATCAAAGCTGGTCAGTCCACATACCCTGCCCTGCCCCAACCGGTTCTCTTGAAATTTGCAATGAGAAAGAGGTTTGTTGTAATGACAAAACCACATCCCCCAAACGTACCAAAGAGTGTGCTTTGATGGCTAAGTGTGAGTGTCCCTACAGCACTCCGGTCAAACACTTGTCTGATCTTAACATAGAAATCAGTGCCAGGTTTAGGGTGCTGTGGGCAGTTCCCCCGCACAGGGTGCTGAGCCGAGGGGGTGCAAAGTCGCCACCACCACCAGCAGCATCCCTGTAAGATTCGTAAAAAAGCAACTGTACCAAAAGGAATTATTTTGAAAATTATATTGGGGGGGGGTGCAATTTATGTCCTGGCTGAGGGCGCCATATTACCAAAGTTTTCCCCTGAGGGAAATAGCTGCTTTGGAGAGACAGGACTCCTGGTTACCCTCCCCAACAGAGAATTGGGGCTGGGTGTCTGATGGGGTTGAGGAGGAATCAGTATTTTCCAGAGCAGGGCTATGTGCCCCTTGTCTCCCCTTCTAGCCTGGCTGGTTTCTTCTGTCTGAACAGCTGCATCACAGGCAGAAATTATACAGAAACATCTGCATCCGATGCTAGTCCTCCCCAGAGCAGACCCACTGAAGTCAAAAAGCATGACTAATTTAGGCCCATTAATTTCAGTGGGTCTACTCTAAGTAGAACCTAATTGGATATTTTTTTCTCTGCTGTTCAGCTGAAAAAGCTCCCAGAGAGCAGCTTACAGAACAACCATTATTTTCCGAAAGGCTGTTCTTTCCCACATGCTTAAGATATTTTCAAAAATGACAGAAAAGTAAAAGGGAATGGGGAGCAGGGAGGAAGAAACCAAATGTCAGGTGCCATCAGTTCCTACTTCTAAAAAAACGCATGGCTTGAATTGAAATAGTTCAGATAACCGTTAAAGGCACCCCCAAACTCGGCCCTTCAGATATTTTGGCACTACAATTCCCATCATCCCTGACCACTGGTCGTCCTGTTAGCTAGGGATGATGGGAGTTGTAGTCCCAAAACATATGGAGGGCCGAGTTTGGGGATACCTGAGATAACCTGATGGAATGGCTGAGATGAGGGGAAAGAGCAGTCAGAGCATCTGATATGTCAGCAGAGCTGATGGAGAAGCCCTGCTTCTCTTCTCTTCTCCCTCTCCCTTTCCTCTGCAACCTGCCAATGTCTTTGACTGTAGAGATAAAGTTGGCAGGAGATGCAGTGATGGAGGGAAGCTTCACCTGCTGAATTTCTGCCTGCCTGACGACTGTTACAAAAACCATAGCCCTGCTCATGGGAATCTTAGCTTTGTGGGAGTGTTTGGGTAGAGGAAAAACTCATGCAATCCAGACATTTTGAACTACAACTCGCATCAGCTCTCAACATGCCAACATACATCTGTTGAATTGGAAAGCCTCTGCCTATCCCTGCACCTTAGGCCTCATTCCCCTTAGAATCATAGAATTGTAGAGTTGGAAGGGACCCCCGAGGGTCATCTAGTCTAACCCCCTGAAGTGCAGGAATCTTTTTGCCCAATGTGGGGCTCAAACCCACAACCTTGAGGTGCAGAATCTCGTGCTCTACTTGGCTTCAAAGGTTCTTTGACAGGTGAAAAGGATCCAGCCTGTAAATCCAAGTAGCTAAGGGAATTTCCACTTGCTTTGTCATGCAGAAAGGGCGCAGGAACTTTTACTAGAGGGAAAAGTTGGCAACCCTCCCTTGCTGGTGGGAAGAAACCGGTACTTCTGGGTTGCTTGAGAAAGAGAGCACTTGGGATCAGGAGGGAAAGGTGGTGAGATTTTGTTGTCCGGGGAGTCCTTAATCCCCTGAAAGGCAAGTATGGATCTGTGCAGGGGTTAGGGGCTTACTTTGCAAAAAAAAGGGAGTGGAATCTAGTGGTTTGATCAGCCCCTGGGTTCTACAGCATGGGGGGGGGAAGGGGTTGCTTTTGAGAAATGGGGACGTGAGCTTCCTCATGTTGAAAGGTTGGCTCCTACCTCGAGTCATTTCCTAATTGTGTAATTGACTTGCTCACAGCCTTTGCGTATGAAATCATTGCCCTCCCCAGGAATAGGTGCCGGGGACTAAGCCTACATGGATTTGCCTGAGGCCTGCCCCTTCTCCTGCACCGTCCCTGACTGACTGACTGCCTCCTGCCTGCTCCTTTTTATCTTCTCTTTTCTCCTTCCTGGTAATCTACCCTCCCCTTCTCTGTAATTCCACCCGCCCCAGAAGCAGACGGGGCGGTGACCTTAATGCACAGATATATATATCACCTAAAAGGAGCCAAGATGCTTTTCCACCATCATCTGTGTCAACTTGCCCAGGAGGCGGACGAAGAGAGGAGCACACTTGACAGGTGAGTTTACCTGGGGCTGGGTGGAGAAATAATGGGGACCGGACCCCCAGATTTGGAAGGAAACCATTTTGCAGAAACTAACTTTACATGCGCTCAGGGGTACAGTTGTGGTGTTTACTAACGACATAAGTGCTCTGGTGAATCGTTTTTGGAGGATCAGCTTAATCTTGCATTCTGTTTCCAAAAGCGCCTGGTCAGATGCCTCTGGAAAGCAGGGCAGGAAGATGACAGCCCATTCCCTGTTATTCATTCCCATCAATTGGTGTTCCGAGATACACTGCTCCTGTTGATGGAAGATCCATTCAGCTGTCATAGCTAGCAATATATATATATATATATTCTAATCTCTTTTTTAACCCATTGGCACTGGTGACCCTCACCACTTCTTGTGGCAGTCACATCCAGGAGAAAATTACCTGCACTTTCCAGAATCAGTTGAAGACATTTTTTTGTTCCCTGTCTGCTTGTTAGGGTTTTAGTCTTGTTTTAAATACATTTGTTTTTGTGTTTAACTGTTTTTAATTGTCTTATACGTAAATTGCCTTGAGACCGTGGTTTGGAAGGCGATTAGTAAATTAATAATGACGATAATAATAAGGTATTATTATTATTTTTCATGTCCTACAGTTTAACCCTGTCATTTTTAGAAAGGTAAACCATTTTATGAGATGTGTCTGTGTGTATGGTGTTACACTTCTGTGAATGAATAGGCATTACTGTGGCTTGTGGTTTCGCATGTGGGAACATCTGTGGCTGGTTGGTAGAGCTTCCCCCTTGCATGGAGAAGATCCTGGATTCAGCCCCCAGGATCTGTAGGCAGGGCTGGAACAGATTCCTGTACAGACCATGAAGAATCGCTGCCAGTCAACGCAGATTAATGGTCCCCAGTTACCTAAGTATTGCGGACCCCCTGTTTTTCAAAAGCCAAGACATGGCCCCCCTTACTGTTGAAATTTTCAATAACCCTATGGTAGTTTTTGTCATCTGAATGGTGCCACGGATCCCCTGGGAAGGATACATGGACCCCCTCGGGTCTATGGACCACCAATTGGGAACCACTGGCATAGACAGTACAGAGCCAGATGGAGCCCTGTAGCTTCCTATGTGCAAATCATCACAAGTGTGCCTCTCCCATGCACATGTATCCTGTACACACCGAAAGATTTGCACACAACCACCTACACGAGATGATCTGCCTACAACTTTTATGCATTTCCCCACTTCCAGCGCGTTGGGAAAGTTGGAACTTTTCAATCAGTCCTTAGGACACTGCTTTGAACTCGTTTGCTACCTCAAAGCCACAGATGGATCTAAAGGAGAATGGCTTTTATGCCACTTGTAAACCAATTTTAAAGAGACAGAATGTTACTGATAGCCGTCCCAAGGCCACGCAAGAGACTCCCTTGACCTTCAATCCAAGACTCGCTAACGTTTTCATCTGCTCCGCAAACCTTGCAAGACTCGTTTATCTGGGCTTCTGGTAGCCACATTAAACCTCTGGCCGTGAGGTTTTGAGCATGTTTTCTCTTGTTTAGTTTGAAGACGCTCGTTGCTCGTTAATGCTCTGCCGCCACCCCATTAATCCACATTTATGTTGTAACTCCACCTACCCTGTGGGAGTCCGTATCAAATCAAACTGTTATTCCAAAAGAAAACAAGTTTCTAGACCTTGTGGCTGCCTGGGGAAATCATAACGTTTGCCACCTGTAGAGAGCAGAGCAGCTACAAATATAACGTTGGTTTTTGCTTGTGTTGCCAGGTAAGCTCCCTCACTTCTCCCACCGAACGGACATTGGTAAATTCCGTATGCTGCTATTGACCCAGACTCTTGTTCAAGAATTCTCTCATTTGTTCAAGAATGGTATCGTTTACTCATCTGTTCTCCTGCACTTTTTCTCCAGCATACTATGGCTTCTGTTTGGGTACCAGCGACCTTCACTGCGGTGGTCCTTTTGCTTTCTGGGGGATGCTATGCCAGTTCTTCAGGTAACGCCACCCTGACCTCACCCATATCCCAAGTCTCTCCATTTTGCTCTGGAAAGGGCTTTAAAAGATAATTCTTGGGGGTGAAATTGGATCTTCCGAAATTGGATTCGGTCCCATAAACTTATGCCACCTCTGTTTCTTTTCCTGACAGGTTCCTGGTGCTACGACAGCCTAATCTGTGGTAAGAAAAATAGCAGCCCTAACTTCTCTTTAGCCACAGATTCCAAGCAAGGCATACTTTTGAGCCAAGTCCATCACACCAAACTCAACTTTTATTTCCAGGGCATTTATTCTGTAATGGACTAAAAATGCCCCTGAACATGCACAAAGTGTGTTTTCCTCTCTACCTCCTTGTACAGATCCAGAGCTAAGTGGGAGGGCTACCTAACAGAGGATATTGTTTTCGGGAAGTTTAGAATCCTCCTCCTGCTGCTGCTTCTCCGTTTTATTTATTTAATTCAGTTCCCCATCTCTAATTACCACACTGTTTGTTTTTGGCTCTTCCTTTTCTTGGCCAGGACCTGACACGTGGTCATCCCAAGGTCATTGCAATGGCAAGAGGCAATCTCCCATCGATATTGTCACCAGCAGTGTCAGGCATAACCCCAAACTGGGTGCAGTGACTCTCACCGGCTACAACGACACCAAAAAACTGCTGGAAATGAAGAACACTGGGAAAACAGGTGAGTATGTAAGCATTTCGTTTTTAATACACTATGCTTCTGGTCCTTAAGGTAGCAGGAAAGTATGGGGGAAAAAGACACAAAACTGCAAGACGGGGAAGCTGCCAAACTCCATCCCTTCCTGTGTATTCATAGTAAAAAGCTGGGTTTCCCCAACTTTACAGTGATGGCAGCATGGAGGAGCCCGGAAGAGTGTGGGAGAATCTCCCAACCTTTTCCCTCAGCCTGGGACAGGTTTGGAAAGGCAGCCTGCTCTTTTCTGAAGGGGAGTGTCATTTATTTCCCTTCAGTTTAACAAGCTGTAGGCAGATCAAGAGATTTCACCTGCATTCTGCCCACATTCTGCCAGGGCCCCATGACAGCATGTTCAGTCCTCTTCCCTCCAGTTGTTGTTGTTGTGTGTGTGTGTGATATTCTGCCCCCTTTCAGGTGGGTCAGAACAGCTTGGTGCTTCTCTCCTTTAGCTGGTGGGTGGACCATTTTTTTATTATTATTTTTGTTAAGTCGTGGGTTGACATACCAGCCGGCACAGCGATTTCTTCAAGTAGCTCTTTATTATGGTAAGCTGGAATAGAACTGACTGCAAACAGCTCAGCGGGCCTGTATTTATAGGCAGCCGGCTGTCAACATTGTAACCACAACAGCCCAGAGTTCCCGCCTAAAATAACTGCCGCGGACCTGAGTGAAAACTATCTACAGACCTGAGTGAAAACTATATACAGTATCCACCTGTTGGCCCAGGGTGAAACTACACTACATAACACCCCTCCCCACCGAGATAAGGCGTTAGTTACAATCGTAATGGTTTCCTTATATACAGCACTACGCGTAATGGTTCCATTAAGCACAAAAGCATATCGGTTACATTTCCCATACTTAGACCAACAGTGATACCTGTCCAACAACATAGTCCTTTAAATGAGTTGGGCGCTTGGAAACTCTGCCAGACCGCCGGGGACTGGTAGCCAAGTCCGGAGGGCCACACAGTTCTCGCTGAGGCTGTGGTGTGACCCTAGGTGGCGTTGGAACCAACTCCCCTGGATCCGCTGCTGTGAGTGGAGCCTCCGCAAGTGGAGTGGTCTGAGTCTGTTCTGAAACGGCTTGGTTCGGCTCCACGCTGGCAGTTTGCGAGGGAGGTGTAGGTGGGGCCTCGCCATCTGTACGTGTCTCTTCTGGAGCTGCAAGCGCAGTTGGGGGCACCTCGGTAGTGTCCAAGTCCCCAACCCTGCGCCTAAGCTGGTCTATGTGCCGTCGCCACAAGCATCCGTCTTCGAGCGCCACCTGGTACGAGCGAGGTCCAGTGACTCCCACTACTGTGGCTGGCACCCAAGGGATGTCCCCCACATAGTTCCGGGCAAAGACCTGGTTTCCTGGGACAAATGACCGTGGTGCGTTGGCACAGCCTGGGGGTTCAGCCACGGCAAAGTCTGGGTGTAGCCGGTCGAGCGGTGACCTGAGGCGGCGGCCCATAAGCAGTTCCGCAGGACTCCTCCCTGTGGCCGCATGAGGGGTGATGTGTTGCGCGAACAAGTATTCGGCGACCCGCTCATGCCAGTCTCCCCGGTCCAGGCGCGCCAGTGCCTCTTTTGTCGAGCGCACCATTCTTTCCGCTTGCCCGTTGCTGGATGGATGAAAGGGTGCCGTTAGGGCATGGCGGATGCCCAGTCCCAAAAGATACCGCTCAAACGTGCCTGACGTGAACTGCGGTCCGTTGTCAGAGACAAGGACATCAGGACACCCATGCGTTGCAAACAGGCCTCGCAGCACCCGGATGACAGCTTCGGTAGTGGTGGAGGGCATCAGGGCGACCTCCAGCCATTTGGAATAGGCGTCCACCACTACCATAAAGGTCCGGCCGTGAAAGGGGCCAGCCAGATCGATGTGCACCCTCGACCAGGGTGTCTTTGGCGTCTCCCAGGTGTGTCCCTTAGCTGCCGGTGGTGCAGGCCTCGACTCCTGGCACGCTTGACAGGCGGACACCCAGGCAGTGATGGCATTGTCCATATTAGGCCACCAGACGTAACACCGAGCCAACGCCTTCATTTTGACAATTCCCGGGTGGCCAACGTGCAGAGCCTCCAGGACGCGCTGACGGAGTCCCTGGGGAATCACGACGCGGTCTCCCCACAGCAGACAGCCGCGATGAGCTGAGAGTTCATGTTGTCTGGTTGCGAAGGGCTGGAACTCCGATGCAAAGGGCCCTTGTGGCCACCCCCTCCACACCCAGTTGAGCACCCGGCTGATGGTGCGATCCTGGGCAGATGCGGAGGCCACAGTGGCAGCCGATACAGGCGCTGCCGGAAGATCCTCAATCAGAAGGAGCGATGAAGCTGGAGCCGGGTCTTCCACAAATGCTGGAAGAGGACAACGGCTGAGGGCGTCGGCATGGCCCATCGATTTCCCCGGGCGGTGGATGAGCCGGTAGTGGTAGGCAGCCAGGAAAACAGTCCATCGCAGCATGCGTGGTGAGAGGACCGGTGGAGTTGGACGATCACCGGCGAGGAGGCCCAGGAGTGGCTTGTGGTCAGTGATGAGGTCAAAAGTCCTGCCATAGAGGTATTCATGGAACCTCTTCACTCCAGCCACAAGTGCCAATGCCTCCTTGTCGAGCTGGCTGTAATTCCGTTCCGTCGGAGATAGTGTCCTGGAAAAGTAGGCGAGCGGTGCTTCTCTTCCATCTGGAAAACGGTGACTAAGGACAGCACCGATGCCAAAAGGTGAGGCGTCGCAGGCAAGGACCAGCGGCCTGGATTCACTGTACTGTACCAGCACACTGTCTGAAGAAAGGAGAGCCTTGACCGCGTTGAAGGCCGCCGTCTCCCGATGACCCCAGGCCCAAGGCGTCTTAGTGCTAAGGAGTCGGTGAAGAGGCTCAGCCACTGTGGCTTTGTGGGGCAGGAACATGTTATAAAAGTTCAGCAGCCCCAGGAACGCCTGCAACTCCGTTTTGTTCTTTGGAGTGGGGGCCTGCTGGATAGCGCGGATCTTGGATGTGGTTGGATGAAGACCGGAGGCATCGATAAGATAGCCCAGGAACTCTACCTGTGGAACGGCGATCTGGCACTTCTCCCTCTTTACCTTGAGCCCGGCCTCCTGGAACCTGGTCAGCACGGCACGGAGGCGCTCGAACAGCTGCTGGTGTGAGTCTGCAGACACCAAGACGTCATCAAAATATGGTACCACGCCCGGAAGCCCTTGCAGGAGACGCTCCATAAGGCTTTGGAAGATGCCAGGAGCCACACTCACCCCGAACTGCAACCGGCGGCAACGGAATGCCCCCCGGTGGGTGACGATCGTCTGGGCTTCAGCAGTGGCATCATCGACTGGCAGTTGTTGATAGGCTTGGGCAAGGTCCAGCTTAGCGAAGACCTTACCCTCACCCAGGGAATGCAGCAGGTGTTGGACAACAGGAACCGGATAAGCGTGCTGCTGAAGCGCCTTGTTGATCGTGCACTTGTAGTCAGCGCAGATTCTCACCGACCCATCTGGCTTGACAGGCGTGACGATGGGGGTTTCCCACTTTGCGTGGTCAACCGGCTCCAAAACTCCTTGGGCGATCAGTTTGTCCAGTTGTTCGTCCACCTTAGCCTTGAGAGCAAAGGGAACCCGGCGTGGCTTTAGCTTGATGGGGGCGACTTGTGGATCAAGGCTAAAGGAGATGGGCGTACCTGTATATTGGCCCAAGGTGCCGTCAAAAACCTCGGCAAAGTCTTTGACCAGACCCTCAGTCTCTGCGTTAGAGATGCAGTTGATGCCGGTGACTTCCAGGCCGAGGGCATCAAACCAGTCTAGCCCTAGGAGGCTTGGCCGCTGACCTTCGACCACCACCAACCGGAGCAGGCCCGAAAAATCCTTGAAGGCGATCCGGAACCGGCCAACGCCTACCACGGGAATGTCGTTTCCCTGGTAGTCTCTCAGGTGTACGCGGTGAGAGTCGAGTTGCCTTTTGGACACTCTGGGTACCAGTCTTTTGATGGTGCTCCATGACACGATGGACAGGGCAGACCCGGTGTCGATCTCCATGTCACATGGAGCTCCTTCAATGAGCACCGTGACGTTCAGCTTGCGTCGCGTAGGCGAGTCGGTTTGGCCAATCGTGGTTCCAGACGGGCAGCGGCAGTTGGTGAGAGCGAAACAACTTTCCTTGGCAGACTGGAGTGAAGACTTGGACTTGCGAGTCGATGAAGGGGGGGTGTCAGACGGAGCCGATCGGCAGACCTTAGCGATGTGGCCCCTTCTGGAACACTTCCTACAGATGGCGTCTCTGAATCGACACTTGGCACGGGAATGGTTGCCTCCGCAGCCAGCACATTCCGGTTGGCCCTTGGACCTCTGTTGGAACTTCCTGCGCTCCCGCTTTGTCTGGTGCACGTCATCGTCTTCACTGGAGGATGCCTCCTCACTGCTGGCCTCTTTATGATGCACCGGAACTGGTTCCCTAGCAAGACGCGGGCTGCTGGACTTGCGGATCTCCTGGGCGGAGCGTTCAGCAGCTTCTGAGGCCACAGCTTCCTCAATGGCTTTCTGTAGCGTGAGGTCTGGCTTGGCTAGGAGGCGCCGTTGCAGATGGATGTCCCGGACCCCGCAGACGATTCGATCCATCAGGGCATCGTCTAAGTCTCGGAACTCACAGTGCATTGCAGCCTGTCGCAGGGCGGTGGTGTAGTTGTTGATTGACTCCCCCTCTGCCTGGTTCCGGTGGTAGAACGCATGGCGGGCAGCAATCTTGGACGGCTTTGGTGCGTAGTGGTTGCGGAGCTTCTCTTGGATCGTGTCCCATGGTGTTGCCTGGACTGCTTCAGGCGCAACCAACGCTCGGGCCGTCTCAAACACCTCAGGCCCACAGAGGCTGAGGAATAGGCCCCGCTTCCGATCCTTTGATACTGCTGTCAGCTCGTTGGCTTGGAGGTAGCAGTCGAACCGAGCGAGGTAGGAGTCCCATGATTCAGAGGCTGGCGCAAACGGCGGTAGAGGCACAAGTGAAGCCATGATTCCGATGCCGGCGTGAAGGGCGATGGATGGAACACAGTGCTCTAGCCAGAACAGTCAGCTCTGAATTGGTTCTGCCCAGTGATTTCGCTCAGTGATTTCGCTCTGTGATTCCGCTCAGTGATTCAGCTCAGTTCAGAGGCTGGCCGCATCTGGCTGTGCTCTGATGTCCATCCATCCCACCTTCGTCGCCAGTGTTAAGTCGTGGGTTGACATACCAGCCGGCACAGCGATTTCTTCAAGTAGCTCTTTATTATGGTAAGCTGGAATAGAACTGACTGCAAACAGCTCAGCGGGCCTGTATTTATAGGCAGCCGGCTGTCAACATTGTAACCACAACAGCCCAGAGTTCCCGCCTAAAATAACTGCCGCGGACCTGAGTGAAAACTATCTACAGACCTGAGTGAAAACTATATACAGTATCCACCTGTTGGCCCAGGGTGAAACTACACTACATAACAATTTTAATCCAAACCAACGGGCACCGACCACCTGAGCTGGCTGGTAGAGAGACCAGTACTTTTCAAACACAGAATCGCCTGCCCGCAGGGCAGCCCACCTGTTCTTTGTGTGTGTCACTTTCTGACTGGAAGGAGACGATCCCACCCTCTACCTTGGCAATGATTCACACATGTTTCATAGCAGAGCAGGCAGTTCTGCATCTCTCTGATGGGGATGTTTGAATGGCCCAATCATCAATGGGAAATGCTCCATCGAGGACCATGTATTTTGCTCTTTGTTATTGGCCTGCTCTATGTGCTTCGGCAGAGACGTGGGTGGCGCTGTAGGTTAAACCACAGAGCCTAGGACTTGCCGATTAGAAGGTCGTGGTTTGAATCCCTGTGACGGGGTGAGCTCCCGTTGCTCGGTCCCTGCTCCTGCCAACCTACTAGCAGTTGAAAAGCACGTCAAAGTGCAAGTAGATAAATAGGTACTGCTCCGGCGGGAACCGTGCGCTGCTCTGGTTCACCAGAAGCGGCTTAGTCATGCTGGCCACATGACCCGGAAGCTGTACGCCAGCTCCCTCGGCCAATAAAGTGAGATGAACGCAGCAACCCCAGAGTCGGCCACGACTGGACCTAATGGTCAGGGGTCCCTTTACCTTTACCTGTGTGCTTCGGCAGGATCCAGGCTTCGCCAGCCTGCTGCCCTCCAGATATTTTGCACGTCAACTCCCTTCATCCCCTGCTAGCACAGGAATTGATCAAAAACTTATGGAGGGTGCCTGGTTGGCAATAGCCGGAAGAGGGTGCAAGAGGAGGGAGGAAGGGGGTAAGTGCCTCCTTCTAGACACGCAGCACTGCACCCCACATTACTGAATCCCTGTGGCTACCTGAAGAGAAGGCACCTTTTACATACGGTACTTTAATTTCCAGTTTGATGATTTAATTAAAATTTAGTAAGGCAGCAATCCTAAGCATTGTCAGGCTTCGTGGCAAAAGTTATCACCCTCAAAAATCAACACAAATAAGTCACGAATCATTATGTTCAACTGAAATCCAAAATCATTACTCTGCTTACTCTGTCAAAATCAATAGGATATACTTGAGAGGAGGTGCAGTTAGGATGGCACCGTCAGTGTGTGATGGACGCTGATGTTTCTCTTTCAGGACAAAACTCGGCCCCCTCCACCCTGAAAATGCACTTCTGTGGCTATGTGCCCACTGTACCTTCAAAGCACATGCAGAGCACATGTACATTTCCCTTCCTCTCAAAAGAACCCTGGGAACTGGTCTCACTTTCTTGATCGTACGAACCAAAGTGTGGCCAACCCAGCCCAATCCTGCGTGTCATTGATTGCAAATGACACCACTTCCGTGGCTACAAAAGCAGTAAGAGAAGCTTTTTGGCGGAGAATTCCAACACTCTTGATGCACTAATAGAAATTGGTCTGGTTTCTCCTTTTGCCTGCAGTGGACATAGAACTGGGCGAAGGTCTCCAGCTGAGCGGCCCTGGGCTTCCGGCTACATACACAGCCAAGGCCTTTCACCTCCACTGGGGAGATGGAGTCCATAAACCCGGATCAGAGCACTACATAAACGGCGAACGGTACTCTATGGAGGTGAGGATATCTTCTCTTATCTGGATTCTGGGATTGATAGCATGTCAATGTCAGCTGGCATATTTTTTTATTATATTTATTTTTCTTTCCTTCTGCTTTATTAGCAAATATTATTTTTTGTTATAATAATTGTTCCCTTGAGCATGTGCACGTACATTTCTTTTCCCTCTGCATAACAGCAGCATAAACTCCATCTATACTGTATTGATCAGTGTATGCAAAGCTTTCAAGTCAGAGGGCTTTTTAGAAAGTATGAATGACCAGGTCTAAGGGGAGTAGACACAAGAATGGATTTCCAATATGCATCAGGCTTTTGTTTACTGCAGTCTATCTCTTTGCTCATGGAGCAGCCAAGTGGGTCAGCAGGGATATGTCCCAAACTGATCTATTTTCTTTTCTCCCCTCAGTTACACATCGTGCACACCAAAAACAACACGAGTGTATCGGAAGCCTTGAAGGACCCACAGGGCATTGCTGTGCTAGCATTCTTTGTCCAGGTGAGGGACTGGGGTGGTGAAGGTTTGTGCACGTCTATGCTACCAGCTGGGATATCAGTTGTAAAGCATTTTGGTTGTTTTGGCTTTTCCCAAACGATTCTGGGAACTGTGGCAAGAGTTTTTCTCTTGGCCAGTCATTCACCGTGTCATATTAAACCAGGGGTCAGCAAACTTTTTCACCAAGGGGCCGGTCCACTGTCCCTCAGACCTTGTGGGGGGCCGGACTATATTTTTTGGGTGGTGGGGGGAAATGAACAAATTCCTATGCCCCACAAATAACCCAGAGACGCATTTTAAATGAAAGCACACATTCTACTCATGTAAAAACACGCTGATTCCTGGACCGTCCGCGGGCCGGATTTAGAAGGCAATTGGGCCGGATCCAGCCCCCGGGCCTTAGTTTGCCTACCCATGTATTAAACCATCATTTAATTTGACCGATGGCTTAATGTGATGCACAACCAGGCCACTGACTGAACTGCTTTGCCTTGAGTTCACTGGTAAGGGAGCACGGCTGCTGAAAACACCACTTAGCTAGTCCATAGTGGAAACAGGAGAACTGGAAGAAGCAAATGTAGATTGTTCTGTGTGATAAACGGACAGTGTTGCTTCTGAAGAAGCACTTCTTTCAAGGAGATATTCGCATTTCCCCAGCACTCCAATGATCATCTTTTCTCACTGGAACAAAGTCCCAAAAAGTATGTGCCTGTTGGATAATGCCAACGACATCATGAGCGATGAGCACCACAATTCCTGCCTCCCTCTGCCTCTGCTTCTTAAGGTAGCCCTGGGAAGGGGAGGAAGACATTAAAACAGGAGATGCTGAGCCCTAGGATTCTTAGGTTCCTTTATCACACTTTATTTCTCGGTCTTATTTTACACTATATGATGTTTCCTCTTTACTGCAGGGCTATGAGAAGGCACAAGGCAAGACAGCTGAAGCATGGGAATCGTTTAAAAAGAAGCTGAAGGATGTTGAGGAAAAGGGTAAGTCCATCAGTGAGTGGGAAGCCAAGGAAAACATCTGGTTCTTCTCTCATCTCAGAGAATCCATCATGGCTACCACAATGAATTGGAACAAAAAATAACCAGAGTGGTGTGGTTCTTTCAGTCGCCTCCCTGATAAATCCTGTGAATGGTGGTTTCACAAGAGCCCCTTGAAATTCTTCAGAACCTTACATAGAACTGCAGTATTCAAGAGTCCCTTGTTGGGAAACCATTATTATTATTTATGAAATCTGTATTATATCGCACATTCCATCTAAGGAACTCAAGGCCCCCCAAAAAACATTTTATCCTCACAACAACCCTGTGATGTAGGCTAGGATGTGAATTAAGTGTGGAGCAGAGATGCAAGCAACTTACCTCCCCCTGTACAGGTGAAGAGACAAAATTCGATGGCAGCTTCTCTCTCCAGGACTTGCTGGGCCGCCCGGAGCTTGACCGCTATTACCGGTACCCTGGGTCCCTCACCACCCCCGGGTGTGACGAGGTTGTGCTGTGGACCATCTTTGCCGACCCCATTCTGGTGTCGGAAGACGTGGTGAGTGCTGCCATCTTGTGTGTATGTGTCTGTGTGTAGGCAGAATGCTGAGGCACAGAAGTCCTTAGAGAGGTAGGCGGAGCTCTTGTCTAAAACATCTGAGGTACACTAGGTTGGGAAAGGCCAACTGAACAGCACAGGTATGTTATACTCTGGGATACATGAGGGAAATTTGGGAGATTGGCTTCTCTCTGGGCTCCCCTTGCAATTAGGATCAAGAGACTTTTCTTGGAGTTTGAAGTTAAAAAAAAAAAGGTTATTACCTACTAGAAACTGGGCTTTTGGGTGGTGGCCTGTGGTTTAATGATTCCTTCTCCACAGCCACCACACCAGGAAGGTAGGAACAAATACTGAATTAGACCTGTTGGTACATCTAACTCAGGGTTTCCCCAACTTGGGTCTCCAGCTGTTTTTGGACCACAGCTCCCATCACCCCTCAACTAACAGGATCAGTGGTCAGGGATGATGGGAACTGTAGTCCAAAAAAACAGCTGGAGACCCAAATTGGGGGAATTGGTTGCCCTGCGTTTCAGACAGGGGACATCCTTGGAAATACCAGGGATTGAACCTGCAAAGCAAGAGCTCTGTCCCTGAGCTACGCCCTACTCTAGGGTTTCAGACAGGGGACATTCCTAGCCCTACCTGGGAGTTAAAAGAGGAGGCCTGGAAGAATGAGAAATGGAAGTTTAGATTTCTCAGGCAGCTGGACTCTACAGTCAACCCCAAACCCTGACCCTATTTTTTCTGTACAAGATGCAGATGTGTTGAGCTGGAGGGTGAGCGTTAGATGGGTCAGAGATATACAGGGGATGGCCAAATAGCAGGTAGACGAGTGGTGAAGGCACCAATGGGAGGGCAAGAGAGGCTTTGAAAGCAGAGGTGGCCTTGAGAAGGAAGCACCTTGATGACCAGAGAGAACAGAGCCATTTCCCAGCTGTAAACTATTACGTCCTGTTCCTTATTTGCCTCATTACGTTATCCTATTCTGTCAAAAGCAGTGTCACGGGGCTGAACAGAACTGGCCTCCCCCAATTCTGTGTGCTGTTTGTGGGTCGTGGAACTGGAGAGTGAGGGGGCAGTTTGCTGAACGTTCTCCAGCGGAGAACCAAAATTCTCCAACAATTCAAGAGCAGCTGAGAAAACCTCAGTTCAACTCCACGCTGTCGTAACTCGTGCTGTGGAATTGCCACATCCTGGTCTTCACCGGGTAGATCCCACAGCCCGACGTAGGAGTTCCTCCTTTGCCATGTGCCACCACCTGACGCCTTCCTTCTCCCTTCCAATAGGTGCATGCTTTTCCGAATGAGCTTCATTCAACAGACTCCTCCACTGGGCCCCATATTGAGAACAACTACCGCCCTCTGCAGAACATTGGGGACCGGAAAGTGGAATCGTCTGCCGCTTTGAAGCACAAATCTGCTGCCTCGATAGCCTCTCCGCCAGTAGGGCTCCTCCTCTTCATTTCTGTGGCTACTCTTGCATCCTTCTTACCTGCATAAAGGCTGGAGGTGGGTGGGTGGATGTAGGAACCACATGGAGGAAGAGTCGACATGATCTCCAGAGAGGCCAAAGCTAGGCCACAACTCTTTCTGTCCCCTCAGAAACTCCAATTCACCTGCATCTACCTCTCAACCAGCTCATCCAGTACCAGAAGCACTGGCAAAGGACACTAAAAAGGCAGGAGGTGCACATTTCAGTGAGGAGAGGAGCACAGAGAAGGAGATCAATAGCAGCTAGGATGCCCAGTGCTGGGGAAGGAGTGCGGTTCAGTCCACTACAGCTAGAGCTGAAACTTTCCATTCAAAAGAGCTCGTTGTTGACATTTCCCAATCTTATATTGTGGCTTTGTTTCTCGGTGATATTTGAGTTTCCAGATCAACGTTTGGGTTTAAGTGGAATAGAACTATCATCAACGTTTGAGCAATGACGCACATTTTGATACACAGCATACCAAAACTTCAGATGTCAACAAAAGCAATGGGGGGTGGCGGGGAATCACTTGAAATATATAGATTTCCTTGTGGAGTTTGAGGTTCAGGTCTATCTGGGCTAAAACTTCCAATGATTAAAAAATCAACATTAATTTCAGCTCTCGTTTTAGCAGGAATTGGCAGAAGCTCTGCTTGTTCCCACAAACGTGACTTTGGATGGCACATTCACACACGTCTCCAGCACTGCAGAGAATACCCATAGTCCCTAGTGGCAACCTCTCAAAGGCAACACCTCTCCAGTGAAGCGTGTTCACATGTTCAGCTGCCGCTGAGGCACCAAGCGATGTGCGTGCATGTGTGACCCAACTCATTCCCCATCATGCAAAGAAGCAGCAACTGGGACCAGAGGTTTACATTAGCTGAGAAACTGAGGCAAACAGCCACCCTTTAACTACCTTCCTTGCTCTCTTGAAAGTTTGTTTGTTTGTTGTTGTTATATGACCAGTGCTTTTTTCAGGGGGTACTCAAGGGTACACAGCACCACTACCTCTTTTTGTTGTGATTAAAAAGTGTGGCACTTAAGTGTACTGTAACAACTTCGTAGTGCGTACTGGCACCTCTCTGTCTTTCTCTCTGTTAAAAAGTGTGACACACACTGTAACAACTTCATGGGAAACAACTTCTAGGGGAAAAAACACTGTGTACGACCAATCTCCAATGGTGGAAAATCACTTTTTTAAAAAAACAAAAAAACACAACCACAACATTTTTAAAGTGGAAACTTTCACGAATGGAAAATGCATGGAATGCTACTTACTGATCATTCCTTGGGAGCTTCTATTGTGAAAATAGTTTTGAGAACTAATGAATAAGCTGTGACTTAAAAGACAAATGTGTGTGGAAATTAAATTAAGCGGATTGTGTGCTGCAGTGTGTGTGGTTTCACTGACATGAATAGAGGCAAGCGATGCTAATTATTCCTTACTTTATATCTGTCTTGCTGTTGCTAATGGGGTCTCTCTACCTCCTGCCTGCCTAGCTCTAGGGGGGGGGGGCACTGAGGTCGCAGCATTCTGAGAGAGGTGGTCCGGGTGAGTGCCAGCGCTATTGCCACTTCGTCATAGCAGCTAGAAATTTTATTGGGAAAGACAAAAGCAGCTAAAGATTTAAATGAACTTCAGTAATTCTAGATTTAACTGATTTTAAAAAATCTGTTTTACAAATGTCATGGCGAGGCACCAATGATGGCACTTCCCCCCACCCACCCACCCACCCACCCAACTCACCAAGAATGCTTCACTCTGAGCAATTATGGAACTGGAAGGGACCACAAGGGTCATCTAGTCCAACCCCCTGCAACTCAGGAACCTAGCAAGGACCCGCTGTCCTCAGAGTGATGCATGAGGATGGGGCAAGCGCTTTGGAGAGCCCTGCATAGCCACAAGATCCTTGCTGTGTGGGCTGGGAAGGTGTTAATTCACTGTTTCCTAGACCCAGCACCTGATGCAATTGCTATGATTTGCCTCATGATAAGGCCAGACTTGAATCTGAACTCGTGTCTCCCTGGTCCTATATCCAACTGTGTACCCACTATAATTCTAACCACAGTGGCTTAATATATCGGAGGACACCATGCCGCCACCACATTTTCCACACAAGGAGTACAGTCTCTGGGGAGTCCTATATGGCTATCCCCAAGTTTTTCCTTGGCCTGAGGTAATTTTCCTCTCTGTGATGGGCAGAAGCACACTGAGAACAGTAGACCAGACTGTGAGGCAACCAACCAGGAATTAATGTCTGGTTAAACTGAAGCAACTCTTGGTGTTCATGATGTTTTAGCAAAATGCTTCAGCATTTGCATGTTAAAGAGATAAAAGAATAAGCTGCCTTCCTCACTACTGGCGGGACATAGGAAGGCCTCCATTTTGTGTGGGGAAGGGCCAGAGGGACAAATCACAGTAAACTCTCAAAACCTGGGCTCAATTTCTGTTAAAACACCACAGCACAATTACTCTTCACCTGAAATCTCATGAGTTTCTTCTGTCTACTGAGTGTGAGTATAAACTGAGTAAATGTAAGTTTAATAAAAGAAAACCAGCCATGGGTGTGTGTGGTAATAGAGGTGGTTTTAATTTTTCTAAGAAATACCTCATATGTGTCGTCATCAAAAGGGGAGGGGGGAGAGAATATGGTCTCCCTTATGAAACACACCACATTGAGAAATTATTGATTCTTGGGGTCAGGAGATAGAACTCCCTGCATAGCTCGGATCTTTCAAGCAGAAGAAAACAGTTGCCATCAGTCCTTGCAATCCACACACTCTTTGGCCCCAAAACGATTGCCAGGGCATTGTGCCGGATCATACTCATTTAGGTTGAAGGCACTGATCCTTCGGTTGTTCAAGGGTTGCACAGGACGGTAATTATCCTGCATACGCCGATTTTCTTCTTTGGTGGTAAAAAAGAGCGAGTTGGTGAATTTCTTCACCTAGAAGGGAGAAAAACAGGAGAAATGGGAGGAGGAGGAAGAGAAAACGAGAGTAGCACATACAAGCTCAGGAAACCCATGCAGCAAAAGGACCAGTGTCAAATGTCTAAAGTCGAACTTGAGTGCCTGGGGATCGAGGTGGCCTTCCGCCATGAAAGCTCTCTCCAAACAACTGTGAAAGGAGACACTGCCTACTGACCTAGAAGTTTCCGTTGCTGTTGCCAAGCCCAGATCTGTAAAGATTCTGTGTGGCCTCCTTGGCAGGTAAACCCTAACTCTAAGGAAAACCTTGTCCAGGAAGGACCCAACCTAGCCCACTCACTGAAGCATTTCTGGAGATTTTGAGGTGTGCAAAGGAGCTCCCCAGAATCCCTTATAGCTCCTCACCAGGGGACTTCCCTGGGGACCATGCTCATTCTATGGAGAATGTGACTCAGCAAGGTCATAGATAATCTGGGCTGCTAGTAAACTGAGGTGACATCCATACTGTACACTTAAAGAGCATGGCTTCCACCAGAGAATCTTGAGGACTAGTCTATTAAAGGGTGCAAATAATTGTAGCTCTGCAAGGTGTAAACTACAGCCCCCAGGATTCTTTGGGGCAAGCCGTGTATTTTTGAATGTGTGTCAGATGTGCTTTAAATGTGCGATGCGGATGCGCCCCAATATTGTGTGAGGCACTGGTGGGGCGGGACACATGAGAGTCTCAAACCAGGACTCCAACTGGGCTCCAGCACCTCACTATCTGTGCTACCTAGCATCACATTGTTCCTGCCACAAACCTTGCAGGCTGAGGTGTGTTTCTCAAAGGTACCTCCTAAGGGGATGCCCCACCACTTACCTGACAGAGCCCTCAGTCAGCTGGTCTCACAGACCAATCAGGTTCCACCAGGCCCAACAAGGGCAAGGTGTGGAACTAGGAGGCCAACTCTGAGCAGGCCCTGTCTTACTTGTATGAGGAGGATCCTGTCAGGCTAAAACACCTGCTCCTCTTCCTCTACATTGTTCCCTTTGGAGTTTGACCCCCTGCCTTCTATCCTGGGTTACACTCTCAACCTTTGGCTCTTCTGATGCCTGAGTCCTCAACCCTTTCCCACCTTGGACCATGTAATTCACCTTAACCCCTATCAAGATAAGAGCTGACTTCTCAAGGAAACCTGATTGCTTGGGGATGGAACTCCTTACAGACCCTGAAATATTGTGTCCCTTTTGCAAGGGACTTTGGGATGGTACAATCTGATTTTACATCCTTATGAACTAACTAACTGATCACCTTCCACAACAATCTACAAAATATAATAAAAACAGCAAAAATGGTTAGGAAGCAGCATTAAAAAACCAACAACTCAGAAATGAGTTTAAAAACTATATGAAATGGACAGCCAAGGCAGAGACCTATTCGCCCAGCTGGGAAAGCTTGTTGAAACAGAAACAGCCTCATCTTTTCCCTCAGAAAGTGCATATAATGGGCACCTGCTTCAGGTCAACAGAGGACTTTGTTCCACAGAGGAGGGGCTGCCACAAATAAAACCCTGCTCCAAGTTATTGTGGAGCAGGCGTCTAATTCTTTGGGACTTGAAAGAGAAATTCTCCTGCAGCATGCAGTGACCTATTTGGGGTCGGGGATCTGAACGTGAGGGTGTTGTTTGTGGCAGTGACCTTGTGATCCATGTGTTTCCTAAGAACCCACGAATCAAAACGCCTAGGCCTCAGTCCGCTCTGACCCCAGCAGGCTCCATTCAGTGAACCTAATGATTTAGTCCCTCCAGCTGCTGCCACCCCCACCCTTCCTCAAAGAATAGATGAGGCCCACTCACCACATAGGGATGCACCTTGATGACCTGAGGAAAGACAAACCAGGTCACAGCTTCAGAGCAGTTGGGAGTGGTGAGGGAGCCCTGGTAGCGGTAATACTTGTCCGTAATTTTAACTGTGTCTCTACCTCCTGGTCTCAATAAGTCCGAAAGAGAAAATTCCCCATTCAGTGGCACAGAGTTACCTGGGGAAAGACAAGAAAGGTGAGAGGCCTGGTAGAAAGAAAGATCCATTCATTTTCTAAGAAATGGAGGCCGGGTGGCGGAATGGGGGAACCTCACCTTTTTCTGGGATTCTGCGCAGGCTACTAGCCAGAAAATTCCACACACCGTCAA